TTATCGAGCTCACCTTTAATTAGGTTGCTGATTATTTTTATCTTTTTATTTACTAATAAAAAAATACTTATACGTGACCTTAAAAAAACAAAAAAAAAACTGGAATAAATGGTGCAGCAGCATTTTTCAGTGATCAAGGGGTGTAAATTGAGAACTAAACCATTAACGACTTCATTTAATAGTAGTAGCTTTATATATTCGAATATATTAAAGGAAATTTTTCAAATATCAGTTTATAATATATATCTTTAGAAACAAAATTATTAGTTAAATTTATCTTGGAAGGAGGAAAAAAAAAAAGAAATTATAATCTAAGTTTCTTTTTCTAAAATGCATTGACATAATTATAATTGTTAAATCAGCTAAATTTATTGTGCATTGGTTATTTATAATTTGTTTACATGCTTTAATCTATTTAGGATCTTATTCAGTAACATGTTTACATCAATTTTCTTTGATAAAGTTATACTTGAGTTGTCATCTTATGCAATCTAGACAGTTGTCGATATTTGTACTTCATTATTATTCTAAAATTATAACATTTTCGGAATCAACTTATATTTCTCTAGTAATTTGTCTTCCGAATGGATGCATTTATATAAAGCATGATTTTTTTTTTACCTCTTCCTTTTTTTTCAAACAAATGTTTTCAATTTAATATTTTTTTCGAGATCCTTTTTTTTTCGAATTTTTAACAATGGCCATAAAATTATCGCGACAAAACTATCCCTCTTCGTCTAGACAATCCCAAAACTTTCCAAATTCCGAAGAACTTGAAAATATAATCTCGAAAATCGTAAAGTCAGATGAACGTCAAGAAATCGAATCAATGACTTTTCTATCCTTACACGATTTGATCGTTCCCAGTCTTAAACAAAAACGTACTGGACCTCCTCGAGCGCAAAATTGTTTCCTAATATTTAGAAAAGACTTACAAGCCAATATGAAATCTCAATCTGATAATATAAAGATGACTTCAAGTGGTCAAATATTTAAAAAATATTTAAGAAAATATTTACACCCTAATACTTATATGACGTCTCCAGACGATAAGACTTCCGGTATGAAAATGGTTTCTAATACAGCATTTAGAATGTGGCAATACGAAGACGAAATAAAGCAAGTCTATGTAAAGGTTTCTCAAATTGCAAAAGCTGTTCATGCATTTATGTGGCCGAACTACAAATATAAGCCAAATAGAAAAAAACGTCTACAAAATTCTTTTAGTTATCGTCATCCTTATATTTCTATGCCTTCTACACCTTCTTGTAGTTCTCAAAATTTACAACCATATTCGTCTCCCTTCACATATTCTTGTGATTTTGTTTCTTATCCTCGCGTTCTGCCTAAACAAATTACACAAATTACACAATTAGATATAAATCCAAATAAATTAAATTATTATAATAACAGAAATAATAATGACAGAATTCTCTGTCAGTCTGTTGACAGACACGTTAAGATTTAATTACGCGTTCGATTTAAATTTCACGTGACGTATAGACTAATAATTAACTAGATAAATACGTCATATTTCTTTACATAATTAGTTAATTATCCTTTATTTATACGTTTTACTTTTAAATTTTTTTTTAAAATTCTATTGTATTTTCATATGTTATTACATATATATGTTTTTTTTTTTATAACAATAAAACTCCGTCTTATATAATAAAAACAAACAAATTTATCTGTTATGAAATTCGGCACAAATAAATATTATTCCATTTTTTGTGCATTTTAACAGCCCTATTGTTAATTTTATGTAAATAATAATACGTGCACAACGAATTTTTAACACTGGTTATGAATGAGTGATACTATACATACAAATATTTGCTTTTCTATAAATAAGTTTGCGCTGTTTGTGTTGCAACTTGTTTAGTACGTACAGTAAATTCTCCTTAAGTACTCGTTCTATGTATATCCTTTTAAATGCAAGTTAAAACATCATTGTGTTTTATAAAAGAATGCCTTCCATAAATGGGCATTCTAAATACACGTTTTTGAATATTTTATCCTATTGTTCTATTGTTCCTAGGAAATGCATTTAAAAGGTTCACTGCATTATACGAAGGATTCAGTCATGTGATATACATTCTTTCATAATTTTATCATAGGCGGGAAAGAGTAACATGTGAATACTGAATTTAATTTCAATCATAATATATAAATTGCATGGACAAATACTATAGGTTAGTCAGTATATTTTGTGAATAGATACAAATATCCCTTGAAATTAGCGAAAGTAAACATCATTTATTAATTCAAATATTAGCTATCAAAAGCGAGGCATTCTTTTTTCTCGAACTTAAATTTTACTCAAATTTAGATAGAACAATGAACTTATTTGTTTATCTGTTTCTATTCATTTAATCGTGCATGTGTCTAATTAGTTGCTCGCGTGGTTTTTTTGCCCATATATCAGTAACGTAGTGAAACTATATCTGAAGAGCACTAGAATTTGATTGGATATCACATCGGGCTGAATATCAAGTCCAGTTCTCGGTTTTGTACAAAGTTTTTTATTTTTTTTTTCAAAAGATGTTTGTATGATTGGTAATAAAAATAATAAAAATGCAATTCATTCGGCTCTATCGTTAATTATAATTAATATAAAAGCCGATTTGCATCTTTAATTGGTAATTACTCTAAAAAAAAGTTTATCAATCAAATGTATGATCGTTGTGCAACACGAAACTTTAAACAATGCAATTCAAAATCCTACGTATATGTACGTACAACATCAAAACATTTTGACTCTCCCTAAACCGTCGAATTTGTTGACCACGTAGGGTTGGCCTTGGATTTGTATAAAAAAAAAAATTTTTATTGTATTTTAATATGTAGATTCATTTTTGATTATTTTTGATGTTTTTATTTTTATTTTTTTATTTTGTTTATTCTATTTATTATTATTGTTGATGTTTATTTATTATTCTTATAAAACCTTCTATCATTACCAGTAATATCTCGCATGCTTGTTATCCAAGTATGTTTGTTTATAAAGTTGTGTTTGTATATTTGCCGTATCGGGCTAGATGTTTGTGGTGTCTGGTGAGATATTTGTGCGTAAAATTTGAGAGAAGTTAAAGGGAAGTATTGCATATACAGTATTTGTTATGATCAATCGTGAAACACGACAGATTACAATCTAAAAAAAAAAAGGCATAGATATATTCTCTGATAAAAGTATAAAAAAAGACTTCTTTCGCATCTATCAAATACCTTAATTAAGTTAACGAATAATAAAATAAAATATTACCGATAAATTAAATCCTAAAAACTTTCTTTAAAATTATATTTCGTATTGTAATTTAAGAATCCCTAATTTAAGTAAACCTTTTCCTTTAATTTGTTAAAGTATTAAATATATAACCGTGCGACGCCTATTGTGAAACCCGTAACGTGACCAGGCCAGGTCCCCCCCCGTAAATTAATTGTCAGGTGACTTCGGTAACTCCAAATTAAGGCTTCCCGGGCTGCACTGGCCGAACTGGCTGCACAGGCAACTCTGGCCACTACGGCTAAAAAGGCAGTGGAGGCATATCTGATCTGAAGGGCTAGATGGGGTTATAGACAGTAAGGGGGGAAAAGGGCGATGTAGCCAGTATAGTGATTAAGAGCAGAGTAGCCCAACGAATGTAAATAAAGAATTTCATTATAAATAAAGGCCGTAAAGGCTCTAAAGGAGAGATATCTCTCAACTTTGCTTTATTAAAAATATAATCTGACCCTTACATTATGATATCTAAATAATATATACATAATAAATCCTAAATAAATCTCGCTAAATTACCCTAACCTAATCTCTTGCTTATATCCCTTCTCATTAAATCGTGCTCACGTGACTCTTGTTAGTTTGATACCTATTCAGTTGTTAACCTGATGTACTAGGTACAACTGTAGTTTATAAGTCCAGCTCACCTGAAGTAGTGTAGTATAGCTAAGATTAAAGGAAGACTAGAAATTACTCGGATAATAGAAAGACCTACTTACGGAACCAACCAACTCGCCAAACCTAACATGCTTCTTTCCAGTAAAGCCTACCATAGGTTACGCAAAGTATTTGGATTATCAAGTGATTGACTCGCCGCTATATCCAGTTTCACTATTGTTGATTCATGACAATTTTTTATTTACAAGATATAAAAATCGGTTCTGATATCACTATTGAAACTAAACTATGTACCATTTACGCAATAATTTATCTTTAGCTGAAATCATATTTATAGTATTTACCTATCATTATTCAAATAGATGCACAGCTCTAAGAACTTGATATTTTGAGATCAAATTAAACCTAAAGACTATGTAAACAAAGTTATAAAATCATTTTATATATTTTCATATTAAATTTTCGCGTTAAATTTTTTTAAATTATAATTGCAAGTTTTAATATGAAAATATACGGTGCCGCTCACTTCACCGATAGTCATTTCACTAAAAGTTCATTTAACTGACATCACATAGGTTTAGAGTTAGGATTTTATTAGTTTCAGGTATATATTTTTAGTAAATTATCACTTGGAGTGATGTCAGCTAAATGAGCTGTCGATGAAATGATTGTCAGTTTCATCAGTTTCGCTATTTCACTATTTCAAAATGTTTTTGACGAAAAGTGAAACTAGGTTTCACCTTTCGTCATAATAAAACCTTCCAAGTTTCATCTAACATCTATAGGTAATAATTTAACTTTTCACTAGTAACTTTAATAACTTTTTAATTCACAAGGTATAAAATTTTTATGTGTGTATCTTTGTACTGCAATGTATTGCAATATGTTGCAAACTTATTACAACTTATCGCAATATGTTGCTATTCAGTCCTTTTAAAGTAGTCTTTCTATTCTTTTTATACGCCCTAAAAATGTATAAAATATTGCAATATTGTATGTCGATCATTCAAAAAAAATTGTAAGTCATGTTTTTCTCATCACGATTTCCCTTATCACGTTTTCCTTATCACGATTCCCCACATTGCCCTTCACACTATCTATAGTCTCAGAGAATTTTATTACAGCTGTTTTCAAAAAGGTGTGAACAACAAGTTCAATATACCTTATGTGGGAATCAAAAGAATCTGAAAATTCTGATTAGGAAAATTCAAGATCCGAATAGAGCGGGTCTTTAAAACTCCGGAAATCTGGGAAATATCGTCAATTTCCCATGATATGGTGATCTACGTTCGTTCACACCTTTTTTGAAAACAGCTGTAAATAGAAATTGTGTGATAAATGTCATTTCTCTAATCAAAGTCATTTCCCTTATCACTAACTTTTAGAGTTATAAACATGGCAATAACAACTGCTATTAAACTGACACTGCCAATTATTGCACCGATAATTATAATTATAATTGAACTAGAGTTATTGGAGTGTGAAATAATTTTATCGCTTGGGATTGTATTATTACTTGAATCGTTTGTATTACTTTGAATAAATTTAGTAACCCAATTATAGGAATCGTTTGTGCTTACATCTAAAATAAATATTCTTGATGAAAGACTTTTATTGTTAAATTGACCTATTAAACAAATATTTCGAAAATTTTAAATAAAGAAATTATATATAGAAAGAAATAAAACAAATAAAATTTACCAAATGCAACTATCATATAATTATCCACTAATGTTGCTGTATGTCCACGAAGAGTTAGATCCGTAATTGGATTTAAAATATTTCCAATTGACCACTGATATCGATATGTTGTAATATCTAATATCCAAAGATCACCAATTGAATTCGATACGTTATTCTTGCCACCAAAAATTATAATACGTCCGTCGGAAGCTTCAATTTAAATGATTAATAAACAAAAAAAAAAAAAAAACCCCCCTTAGCATAGTATTTATAAAATTACATATTAAATAACATACTTATTACTGCTGAGAAAAATACACGGGGAGGAGGAGTTGGACCAGATGTAGGTGTAGTCTAATAAGACATTAATTATTAGTTTCAAAAGATAAAATAAAAAAAATTATTTATTACATACTTTATTTGTCCATATATTATATTTTGTATTATACAATGGTAACTATAAAAATTATTAATTAATAAATTCAATAAATCAATTATAAAATGATAACACTTACATTATTCATTGGCAAATAGTTTTCAGACTGACTTGAAGTAATAATTCCACCAATATATAGAATTGTTTCATCAGGTAAACATATTGCATAATATCCAAACCTAGATGATGGTGCACCTATTGAATTGCTTAAACTCCATGACGATGTTAATGTATTGAATATCCAAAGATCATTTGTGACATTAATATTTTTACTAGTACCACTAAAAATGGCAATCGATTCATCATTAAATTTAGCACATAAAATATTGGTTCTATCACTAGGTGTATTCCCAG